ATAAAGATTGAAAAGAAGAAAGGGAAATAAAAATCAGATAGAAGAAATGAGGGAACGAATGAGAGAAGGAATTGAAACGCTAAGACTACCCTATAATGAAAGACCTGAAGATTCCTGTGCAAGGCCATTAAAAAATTAGGGCGGAAGGAACGTCGTCCGAAACTACAACGGGTTTGGGATGGTCCATACACCGACGCATCAACGACATTGTTTATCGGATTCAGAAGGGACGTCGGGCAAACATGAAGATCGGCCATCTTGCCCAGCTTGCTTCCTATAGAGGCGACGGGACGATCAGTGTTGGGAGGGAGCGCAATGTCACGTGTATGTAGGTAATCCAACATGCACATTCAGAGATTTCGAGGTGATAGAAAGGGAGGAAGAAGCGAAGAACTGACAATGGAAAGGGTGCATTGATAACTGATCAAAAGTAGAAGTGTTAATTATACATTGATTAATAACAGAAAATAGTTTAATAATAAAAGTAGTAACACTGCGAAAAGGCGTTTAAATACGTGACAATATTTAAAAATGAAGACTCAGACTATAAGTAAAATTTCGATATTGTTTTGCGAACTTTGAAGCCTTTGGCAGAAACTACCGCCTATAGGAAGTGTTGATTAAAAATCAACATTCAAACTTTAATAAAAGTAAATAATGCTTTTACGTATCTTTTTCACCCGATACTGCAAAATGGTCGTGGGCCCAGGTTAGTAGGTAGACATAGTCTTTCAAGTAGAGCGATAGTTGGATGCCCCTGTAACAATAACCATTATAGATCTATTTGTGAGCAGTCTTGAAATGATGACTTCTTCTAGCAGTTGGTGAAGGTGAACCAACTTGCGCCCCATAAAGGTGAGTGATCATAATGCTTTGACTACCGTGGTTTGTTTGATTGAGGGGCACCCTCGAGTTACAAAATTACAGCATTTCAGAAGACCACTGTACTTCTTGTAGTCTCTAGCAAAATGAACAGCAGCCCAATTACGACAACTCCAGAATTTTGCATATAGAAGAAAACTATTTTAAACGCTTAATCTCAAAAGAATCGTTTATTCTATTACAAGAGGAAAAAGCTATGTTTTCTCGATCAGACTTGTTGTGAATAATTATTTTAACATCTATAAAAAAATCAAAAACATTAAAAATGTACAATTAAAAACTAGCTAAAATTAAATTAACTACTATACTTCTATCTATACTAAATTAATTCAGTAATATATACTATGTACATACATGCTTTCTAAAAAAGAAACTTTTATCTAATGGTTATTAGAATTACTTGAACTATTTAATTATTTATTTTGTTATTTACACGCTTTTAATTATTTATTATTTTATCTATACAAATGTGTTTTTATGATATTAAGTTTCATGGGGAACTCATGTACCACGCATCTCAACGGTTTGTAAACATACACTGTGACTTCTAAAACTTAATAAATTTATATTAATTATGCACAATTTGTATCTTTTCTTAACACCGTTACTATGTTTCGCAGCTTGAAAAAAACTCAAATTAGAGGCTGAAACGTCGGTGTTGGTTTTGCTTGCATAAATATTTTTGGCCCCTGGTCAGCTTCGATTGTTTTATTAAAGCTTTTATTTGTTCCTCCAATTTTGCTTCGGTACCTTTGGTTGTAACAAGCATGAGATATCTCGATTTCTTCTAGAATGTTTTATTGAATTCTCCGATTTTGGGTAAAATCTTCTTTCTTCTTCATTCGCATGCTTCCCAATGATGTATAACTTGCTAGGGTTATTTACCATCAGTGCAAGATTCCAGAAACTTTTGATGACGTCAGTTTCTTTCTTCTGTCTTTGGGAGCTTTCCAAATATATCACTTGTTAGAGTTTCTTGCAGCTGATGGAAACTTCCAGAAAATCGGCTTGAAACGCTTCTGGAATGTTTGATATAATTCTTCAAAATCTGCCTCCTTCTTCAATCGCACTTCTGATACTAAATGTGGCGTAGTCAAACACCTTTTTTTGATTATTCACTAATTAATTTAATTATTAATTTTGTGTTTAACACTATTATTAATTAATTATTAACTTACGACTACATTGCACAGTTTGTGAATTTTTCGCTCACCTTAGTTCGCTTTGTATCGTCACGTAGCTCGAATTCGTACTTACTAACTGTTTCAACCTCACGGCAATAACCCCTGAAATCCCTGACGAATACTCCGAATATTTCAACAACCTTCCACCTTAAATAAAATAACATAATACTCCAAAAACCGTATAAACACACAACTCCCTCACCCACACACAGTATATAAGACACACACACACACACATACCTCAACAACTCAAAACATAACCGCATAACACTAACATAATCACACCGACTGAAGAGGACCTTAATTGGTCCTAGAACGGCCTGACGTAGAGGAGTTTTAGTCGATAGGTCCGAGGATTTCTTCCTTGGGAATTCGACACTACCTAGTCGTACGGACGGCTGGGTATCTTTCGAAGATTTCCCCTCTTCCCCTCTAATAAAGGACAGAAAACTATATCGTACAACAGTCGATGGGTTGTGTTGGTTACTTCCAAGATTTGCAAGCCAACAATTTCTTATTTATTATCATGGTTTAATAGGGCATTATGGATTTAATAAAATGCTTGATACTACTGTTACCGGTTTCTGTCAATGCGAAAGTACATTAAAAGTTATATTTCGGGCTGTTTGCAATGTCTTAACAATAAAGACGCTGCAACAATGAAATCTGGGTTCCTACATCCTATTCGTGAAAATAGATACCATACACATAGAGATTATTTAAGGATCTTTCTTTATTTCTAACAAATGAACAAATGCATACGTTCTAGTTGCTGTAGGTAGCTTTACAAAACAAAAGAACTAATTGTTGATATTGGTGACAGTAATAGAGATTCCCATGATGAGAGTGAATGTGAAAACTAACTATAAAACAAAAGCAATAGGTTAATTTTTTCTTTTTGATAAGTCATGTTTTTACATTATTTTCTAGTACGCTACTGTCCTATCTGTATTAATACTATAATTTACGCCTACTGAAAGCTTATTTGTGTATCGGTTCCAA